AGGGTCTGGGGATAAGAACATCAGTGTCTTAAAGGATGTGGAAATAGGGGGTTTGAGGGTCGGGGGTCGGGGGTCGGGGGATAAACAATGTCAATTAATGTCTGGGGATATGAACATCAGGGTATGGGGGTCAGGAGGTTTGGATCAGGCATTCTGGAGATCAGGTAGGGGGTATTAGAGGGTCAAAGTCTGAGGGTCGGAGAGTGTTGATCCGAGGGTCAAATTCTGATGTCTGATGAACAAGGAGTAGATTAGGAAGGTCAGAGTTTGGGAATCAGGAATGCGATTGGGGTATAGGAGGGTTGGGTTCTAGGGATCAGGGCTTGGATGGTCAGGGTCAGATATTTAATATATTTTAACATTGTTTAGATCTGAAAAATCAGTAACATATTGATTAATAATATGAAAGGGAAGTCTAATTGTAACTAAATTTCTTATAAATAAAAAGAGCTTAGCTTGAAATGTTCATTAAGAGAACTTTTCTTGATAGAACTGTCTGTGATATTTATGTATTTGTGATTTGTTTTGTTCAGAGAACGTCTAAAATCTTCTGTTATAACTTCGGTTAATGCTGAATAAATATCATTGACCGTTTATAATTCGTTTGTGTTGTAAATATCAAAAGCTCCAATTACAAACTTCTTGTGCACTAGGGACACATTGATCTTATATATATGACCACATATGAAATAGAAATATTGGAGAACAATGTGTTGTATGTATATAGTATGTAATTCAATATAATGAAAGTGTGAATGCAGACATCTTGTATCTGATGAAAAAATGGAAGACAGTGTTCACAACAAGGTGCTATTTTTAGACAATGCAGGAATGGTGGTTGTGAAAATACAGGAAGCAAACTTTAACGAAAAGAAAAGAGAATTATTAATATATTCATATTATCTCAATATTAACGAAAAGAGAAATTGAAGTTTCCATCAAAAGTGATAATAGATGGTACAGTCTGTAGCTGTGGGAACTGTAGCTTTCACTGGGAAACACTAAACAACAAAAAAATGAATTCTACCACTTAATCTTTCTAATTTTACCAGTTTACTTCAATTAGCATTGAATTTTACAAAACACAATCTAAATAATAAATTCATGACCTAACTTAATGACGTACCATCTAAATAATATATGCATGGGATAACTTAATGATGTACTATCTAAATCATATCTGCATGGCCCAAATTACGGAAACACTCTCTAAATTAGCGGAGCACCATTTAAATTTAAAAACCATATCCAAGTTATCGGGACATGGACTAGGTTTCAGGAACAACAACCAATTTTCAGGAACATAACACCTCATTTAAGAGTGTGCCTTTGTTCCCGAAAACTAGTCATTGCTGGCCGTGTTGTCAGTATAGCTATGCGAACACGGCCGCTCTAATTCCGTAATCCAAACGATATAATAACCAAGGTCGATAGTACACTTATATTTACTTCGAATGAAATAAATAAAGACCACGGAAATAATGCTTATTTTGTACTACGGCCAGGGTTAGGATCGAAATGGACGACCATTTGAGAATGATGCATAACTTTTACCGTATTGCTGAACTGATGCTTTGATATATCACTCCAGAGACACATAAAGCCAGTATGTACGTCTCTGATCACTCATATGATAATCAAAGACACAATATGAACTCTCAATATAAACGATATTTAATAACGAACGAAAAGTACGTCCCGATGTCGTATACAACTTATATTACGTAAACTATATCCCCCGGCTCTGTGCGGTTTCTATTTGCTAATTGTCCAGTATTTATTGATCAATTCGTGCAAATGATGAACCGATTGTGTAAATGTTCATAAACGAACCACTGTATATATATATATATGTTAAGACAGTTTACGTTCCTTCTTTGTTCATATACCTTTCAATCGTTGTTAATAGTTTTGTGATTTATATAATCCTCTTAGTAAGGGGTTCCCGATCACCTGTCCTCTAAGCTTTTAATTTCTATTGTATTTAATATAAATGTATTTTATTCATATTTGGTTTTTTTAATCATTACTTATATAATTGTAATTAAATAGAACTTTATCTTTCCTGTTCTGTCGTAAGAATATCCCTTCTGAGTTAATGTTTCATGTTATACTATTTAAGGTTTAACTTTCTATTTAGTTTAGGTTATCGGGTGATAAATAATCGGCGAAGCAGATAAAGATAAATTAATTTACCCGGGTTCCATTGTAGCTATCACCCGATAACCTAAACTGAATAGAAAGTTAATCCTTTTATTTATAGCCTTTTTCTTTACATAAAACGCGTCCTTTTATGTCATCAAAGTAAACGTATGTAAATGAACACAAAACCCAGCCGTCCTGTCAGTCAACAACGTGACGTCATCGGAATGTATGAATTTCAACAATGTATGTTTACATTTCAACAATATATCTTTTGCAAGAATTCACTAATGAGTTACAAATCTGGTATCCAAGGTACTCCTGTTAACTTCCTAAAACAGCAATGTAAACTCCCGGGTTGTTGACACTTCGAGTGATAATGACAATGATCTCCACAAAGGCTTTCATTAGAAAATTACCATTTAAGTTATGTACACTTATGTGTTTAAAGTGAACGAAATTTTCGAAATATCTTGTTTCTTTATTCATTTAAAGCGAACTTAGCCATTTCAGAAAGATAATGTGCATCCGTATGTCAGTTATCAAAACTAGAAAATAAAATGAAAATAAAATTCCACAGTAGAATAATATACATTATTTACAAAATATATCATCACATTTTGTCATTGAATTGAAACAGGTGTTCTGTTTTAGAAGAACACTTTCCAGGTGTAGCTAAAATACACAACTGAGAAACGAATACCTAGATGTTGTGAACGGTAAAACATTACATAGATAGATATATATATATAACAACTTCACTGATAAACATTTTGTCTTTATATATATCACAGTCGCTGGATCTGAGAACACAGAGCTAGCCAAGGGTTACGATCCGGTCTTCCTAGTAGGTAGATCGTACCAGATCGTAGTAACCCTTGGTTAGCGAAGATGGGTTTCTG